TTACACGTAATATACTATGTGTCTAATCATGTGTCAAATGTCCAATTGTGTGGTTAGGATTATATCTTTACCTATTCGTGTAGCTATAAATGTCTATTTTCGTGTTAAAATGAATATTCATTTATTATGTAATTATGTTGATTTTTAAAGATAAAATAGATCACAAAATGTATTATTTAGGTCAAATTATGAGATGAAATTAATTTTTCTCTCGTAATCTTAAAAAATTATAGAAAGAAATAAGTTTTTGATTGCGAAAGATATTTGGATATTATTACAAATCTTAAAATAACTATAAGAATCAAATATTTAAAACCAAACGTGAGAATTAAATTATAAAAAATATAATTTCAAAATATAATTTAATTTTTTCCGAACTAAACGTTTCTTAAATTATTTCACTTCTAAGTAGACTAATTCGTTACAATTAGTTTCACTTTTATTTTTTTTATGTTTCGAATACAGGAATAACATACTATCCATTATCAATACATCAATCGATCTACAATACAATAATTTAAAGTGCACTCAAGTGGTGCAATGGGTTGACACTTGATATTTGTGGGTTTGACATTTGACAACTTCGGATAAGTTCATAGATTAATCATTTATGAAATGTGGCTTCTATTTAGGTTTGGTATGAGATTTTATGGAATTTTTTTTTTTTAATGGTGTTTCCTTTCTTCGTTTGCATTAGGCTGTTAATTATGTTAGACTTTGATTATTATTAAATCCATTAGGCCTTACTTTGTACAAGAGCAAATGAATTTAAAATATCACAAACAAATTTTAACCATAAATAAATCTTTTTATGCCTTAATTTAAGCAATTTTTTTTTTTTTATTTTAGGTCAAGAGAGATTTTTCTAAAGTTGAATTTTTATATATATATATATATATATATCCAAATAACAATATTAAATTGAAAGATTTAGTTTTTATTAACGTTAAAAATATATTATGTTAAAATGTTTAACTTTATGAAAATTAATTTATTAATAATATATGTTTTATTAGAAAAATGATTCAATTGAATTATTATTTTTATTAATTTTAAATATTAGCTGAGATATAATATGGATTATGTGTTCTATTAAAATTCACTTTTTAATACTATATATTTTTAACAATTTTTTATCTCTCAATTATTATCATCTTATGAAAGTTTATTTACATGTGTATTAATGTTTGTTTAAATTCGTGACAAATTATAATTCATAAAATTTTGGGAATTAATATTTTATTAATTGTTAATATAAAATTTTAATTATATAAACGAAATTAATTGAGTGATAATATTTTTTTAATTAATTTTTTAAAAACATATCATAAAAGATATATATCACACAATTAATTTTATTTATATAATTAAAATTTTATACTAATAATATATCAAATGTTGAATAAAATTTTTATGTCAATATTTAACTAATTCAATAACACAACAACAAAAACAATGTGCGTGAGCATCATAATGACCGTAAGCACAAACACTCTAGTGCCCCCCCCCCCCCCCCCCCACCACAAATGAAAGTGACAGTCTGATTTTCTGTGCCCTTTTCACATGAAAAAACAAGTTGGCCTTATCTTAATATCTTTCTGGAGTGGAAAAGTCTGATTGAGAAATACGAAGCCTCTTTTTGACCAATTGTTCTTTGATAATAATGATATGAAATCATTGGCGTTTTTAGTCTTTAATTTTTGTTACTAGGATTGAATTATTGGTATTGTAATTAATACATGGTTAACATTATAAATAACCCTAAGTTATAATAAAATGATCATTGTAATATTTAAATTTAAAAATTTTTTAATATAATATTTAAATTATAAATATTTTAATTAAACTTCTAAATTTAAAAACTCTAACTTATTTTGTAAGAGAAATTTCATGTGGAATTTAGCTTATAGTAGCTTTCATTTTTTAACATTTATGTTTAAAAGTTTTTAAAAATCAAATAGTGGCAAAACTTTCTTTTTCTTTGTAAAAAAAGAAAGGTGCCATCACTTCAGAATCAATCTAATGTGATAAAGTCTCGGCCATGAATTTTAAAATTTAAAATTTTTCAAAAATAAATATTTTTATTATTTGTATAAAATATTAGGCTTTTCTTTTTTCCTTGCTTTTAAATTTTTACATAATCTATACAATATATAAAAACTATCCCCTCTTCAATTTCTCTTCAATTTGATACTAATTCATCAATTTCACTGTTTATTTCAATTGCCAAATCAACAAATTTCATTTCTACATCAGTTTTATTAAATATTATCAAGTTTAACTATTATATATATATATTTGTTTTCAGGCTAACTTATGTAACACATGTCTAGCATTAGACAATTCAAGATTCCAACTTTTTATCACCCTAATGTCGTCGCCATCAACCACCATTACCTTTGCCATCACCACCACTGCATTTCAATTAAGGAAAAAGCATTAGAATGGGAACTGTTTTCTCTTTTAATTAATTTGTTTTTGGTTCTTTTATCTTGTTTCATATAGGACATTTTGAAAGCAAATGTACAACGATTAATTTACCCAATTAAAATATTTAGAGCAAATTTTGCTTTTTGTTATGAATTAAAATTTACGATTATGATTAAATCATGCTAAAATTTTGTGATAACTCTCAAATAGTTAAATCTTTGAATCAAAACATTTCACGTAAATGCTTTTACGATTATTCTAAGAAGCCACCGTCGTCAAATGTTGGTTTGCACTAATTTCAAATAATTTACACGGTTGGATTATTATAAAAATAAGTGGTGACTGGGCATGCATTAAACATATGTCCTATGATTTGATTTTACCAATTGAAAAAATGAAATTTTCATATGGATATTTTATATTTTTGTAAAATACCCATATATATATTTGAAATAATATTCAAATAATGAAATAAACCCTTGCACTTTACTAAAAATAAATAAAAACAAGCTCTTGTGATTCAGTCAACTAAAATATCTGCTAAAAATGGGGACTTTTATGATGTAAATTTTCTCTTTTGTTCCTTTGTTTGCAGCTGCGGCAAATTTTGCTTTTTCTTGAGCAATAAAATTTTCAACTCAGTAAAGCGCTTGAGAAGGTAAAAGATTTAACTTAACTTTGTTAATCATTAAAATTAAAAGTGTAATGCTTTATTAATAAATTATATAATTATCGATAAAAAATTTGAAGTGATAATTAAATGTAAAACGTGAAACTCACAAAAATAATTTAATAATTAATTTATCTTATTATTCGGATTTAAATACCAACAACAAAACAGTATCGTTTTGATATCAAGAAGCATGATTTACATGTTGACTGGTGGTCACCCACGTTACCCGCAAAATTCTGACCCATTTGTAAGTTTGATTAATTTTAGCCAGATTAAACCAATAATTTCTTTTAACTTTTAAAAAAATACTTTGCATAAAAAAGTAAAAAATAAAAAATAAAAGGAAAGAAAAAAATAAAAGAAAAATAAGATGATTGAATTTTTTTTGTTTTCTCTTTTTCAGTTTTATCCATAATTTTTGTAAATAAATATTTTCATGAAAAAAATATAAAAATGTTAAAAATAAATATCAATAATCAATAATCACCAATGAATTAATAATAATAATAATAATAAATTTTGTCCTCAAGTAAGGAAAATCCAATTTAAGTTCACCATACAGACCCACAAATACGTGTAAAAGACTAGAACTCTAGAAATTTTTATAGACCGAGTCAGGGTCGAGTTAGAAAGCAGTTGGTACTTCGAAAGGTTCATCAAAGGACCGGCTCTTTTAATAGTGTATTTAAGTCCTTTTTATTTAAAAATTATTTTTATATTATATGTTAATATTTAAAAAACATATTTAAAATTAAAATTAAATAAAAACAATTATTTAGTATAAAATATTTTCACATGTCAGGTCCAAACTTTTCATTAGTTTTGCAATATATTTTTTTCTTCGGATTTAGCTTTATAAGTTTAGCTAAAACTTATTATAAAAATAAAAAATACCAAAAAAAAAAAAACTTGCAATTCGGTCTTTTGCATATATTTGTGTCATCCTTTTTTAAAAATTTAGTTAGTAAATGAATCTATTCATTTGTCTTAATTAATTCTTTTCTTAAGAGATCATAAAGGTGCATTATTCGTATTAATTTAATTTATTCAAGATTTTATTTTTAAAATACTTTCATAAAAATCAAACTCTTTGATTGAAAAAAAAAAGAAAATTCTTTTTTGTACCAACTTGACTAATCTATGTGTGTACATTTTATATATGAACAATAAAATTTGTAAACCAATTAAGATTTAAAATGTTGTCACATATAAAATTAATTATTATATTAATTTATTAATTTACTTAATTATAATATTTTAGATATTTGATAATTTTTTAATCATATTTGTGATGTTTAAAATTTTTATTAATATGTAAAAAACAATATCTTTCTATCTTTTTTATTTGTATACCTTGCATTTTTTTTATGTTTCAAAATTATATTTTTTTAACATTTAAGTTTATTATTTTTATATTTCAAAATTAATTTTTATATTTTTTTACTTTTTTGCTATTAAAAGTAACGGAACATAAAATTTACAAAAAAAAAAAATTGATATTATATACACGAAAATCAAATTTTTATTTAACTTTCGAGAAAATAAATGAGAAATTAGAGGGAAAGGGTTTCTAACGCTTAAATTTCCTATTGAAAAAAAGATCTCACTTTAAATATTATTTTAAAGAATCCCAGTTACGAATATATAATTTCTTTTAACTTTTTCCAACCCAAAAGAAATTTCAAAACGAAAAGGACTTACCATGTGTGAGAATTAAAAGCATTCAAAGAATATTCACAAAATCCAAATTCAAGTCCAAATAGACCACTTCCAAATCCAATCACTTTCTTAACCTTTATGCCGCCCTCCATTTTCCACTTTTACCCCTTCCTTTTAATAAAAAAAAATAATAATAATAGTAATTGTTTTCTCTTTTACCCTTTGGCCACATTATTAATTAAATTTAAAACAAAACAAAATGCCAAAGTAATAAAATCTCTCAATACAACTCCCAGTCTCAGGCCAATTCCCTCTCGGAGGAGTTTTGTTATAGGTGGAATCAGAATCCTAACTGACAAGTGGGACGGTGTCCTTTTTAGCCTTATAAAAAGAAACCAAACCGAAACCTTCTATTCATAACCAACCATTAGCTGTTCTTCGTTTTCGTTGTAGGTTTCGATCGCTGCTTTTTTGTTGTTTTTTTTTCTTTTATTTTTTTTTTGTTTCAATACTCGAAAGAAAAAAGAGAGAGAGGGGAGGAGAGATGGGCGTCATTGTAGAAGAAGAAGAAGAAGAAGAAGAAGAAGAAAGGAACGACGTCGTAATGGAGCCGCCGCCTAATTTTTCGATGGTTGAAGAAGGCATTTACAGATCTAGTTTCCCTCAACCCTGCAATTTCGCTTTCTTAGAAACCCTAAATCTTCGAACCATCATGTACGTTTTTTCTTTCTTTCTTTTTTTTTTCATAAAAAAATTCAATTTCGTTTTTGGTTGCATTAATGAAGCGAATTTTTTCGTCGCATTGGTAATTATTTTTTTCATATTATTTTTCACTTTTTGGAGGTTTAATTTTCTGAAAATTTAAGAAGATTTTTTAAAGTAAAATATTTTATTTTCCCTTTTCCTTTTTACCTGCTTGGTTGCTAAGAAAATAAAAATGGACGATAAAAAACAAAAAGGGATGTTAAAAAGATTAAATAATTAATTTTTGACATGCAAGTTATTATTTTCTTTAAAATAGAATAAAATTAAAATTTGACGAGTGACTACTGAAGGTGCCTTTTTTCTGTTGGAAAATAACTTCTTTTTTTTAATTTGAACAGATATTTGTGTCCAGAGCCCTATCCTGAGGAAAATTTGGAGTTTCTCCGATCTCATAATATCCGGCTTTTCCAATTCGGCATTGAAGGGAAAACGGTATTTTTTTTTCCTACGCTTTCTACTCTGCTTTTACGGAAATTTTTTAGAGAGGTTTTCATATACAGATCAATTTTAGTATGTACTTGTTGAATTTGATTTGTTTGCATATTTGAATATACGAAGTTGAATCCTTGCCAGTCTGATACAGCTTTGTGTCAGAAGAATTTTTAGAATTACTAAAATATCATGAGATTTTTGGATCACTATTGGTGAAAAGGATTTACGTTCAAAGTTTGACCATATAACATATCGAAATTTGGTCAAGAATATACTTATTAGTTCTTGGACTTATTAGATGATAGCAATTCAGCAACCTGCTGGTCAAGAAAAATGTTGCGTGTGCGATATGGATACATCATAAATGATTGTAGAAAATCAATTATAACTTACCTTAAAATTGAAGACAACTTAACGCTAAGTGTGGATATATTTCTGTCATTAAATGAACATTTGATTCCCAATAGCTCATTTGGGTTATTTTTTGGTTTATATTATTATTTTTTTTACCATCGTTTGTGTTTGCAGGAGCCTTCTGTTGTTAGTCTCAAGGATGCCATCAGCAGGGCCCTCAAGATCTTAATTGGTATTGAATTCATAAACCATGGAATTGACTCATTTAGTTTCATTTTTTTCCTTACTAGCATGTCCTAGCTTTATGGATTTCTAAGATATTTTTATTGTTTGTTTACAGATGTGAGAAATCATCCTGTTTTGATCCATTGCAAACGTGGAAAGGTAAAGTCTAAATTCAGCTATTACTTGTGCTTTCTTCCCTGTATAAATGTTAGCTTAGCTTGTGGAACTTATACATGAGTTTTTGCTTGTTGATGTTATATGTGTATGGTACCATTTGTGTGGTTGGGCTTGAGTTTCCTTTAAAGGTTAAATGATCAATTTGCATGAATTATATGGCTTTTAAGTTGAATTAATGGAAGCTATACGGAAACAACTATGTCTTTTTGGTGCAGTTTTTGGTTGGCTTTATTGAGAGAGAAAAGATAAGTTCTATTTGGATATTGTAACTCATTTGGGCACTTAGTTTTCAGTGGATAAGTATTTTATTGGGTTTAATACTGGAATTTTGTTCTTTTTTCAGTGACATCGTAAGGATTAATTTCATTTATTTAAAAATTATGGCAGTTCTGACTTTTTTTTTTTAATTTCATGCAGCATCGCACAGGTAGCCTTGTTGGTTGCTTGAGGAAATTGCAGAATTGGTGTCTGTCATCTGTATTTGAGGAGTATCAACATTTTGCTGGCATCAAATCCAGGACTACTGATTTGAGATTTATAGAAACATTTGATATCATATGCATCAGGCAGTGTCTTCACAGCATCATTTATCAGTACCAAGGATACGGTTCTAAAAAGAGGCGGTTGCTTTACAGAGAAGAGACTGTACAGAATCCCCAAATAACTTCGATTTAGATGATCCGCACACCGTTGTTTTACTCAGGAACTCACTTTTCTCATCATTGTTACATATAGGTTTTGTCCAGAGTGGTTGCTTAAAATCAGTTTTTCAATTGCTCTTATACAGCTTTTAAAACAAATAGTGTAGGTGGACTTTCCCTTTGGAAATTAGTTGTTATAGATAGGATAGGTGGAGAAGCATTTCTGCAAGTCCTAATTGGCATTTCTAGGTTTTGTAGTTCTATTATACCAGAACAAGAAGTTTGCATTTATTGAAATTTTTACGGGGAAAGATAAATGAAGAAATTGGTTTCTTTCTCTCTCTCACAATGTACGAATGCATCAGTTAACCATGTTTCTCTGTTTATTGGGAATCAACCAAGGCTTCCAAAGGTTGATTGGCAGCAATAACATTGATAATGCCGATATAATGACATTGATATATGCTTAATATATGCTAATGTCAATGTAAGTATGTTTCATTAATAACGAAATGCTATCAATTACGATAATATTAATAATGAAGTATAATTAAATTAAAATTAAATATATAAAAAGTAATTATTCATGAGTTAATGATTTATATTCGATAATGGTAATTCAAGAATAAACTATAATTAAATTAAAATTAAAAATTAAATTTATGAAAATTAATTATTCATAAGTACATAATTTATATGATGAATGTTTTGTAGATGTAACCACTTTTTATTTATTTATTTTTAAATATTTATCTTTATTAAACATTAACGTACGTATATTAATATTCCCGTTATAAAAAATATATGTATTAGAATATAAACGATTCACTAAAAAAAAAAGGATAGACTCGTTGGGAATATTCGCTGTGAAGTCAGCTTACTTTGTGGCCAGAGCATTGCTTGGGGAAAGAATGTGCTGAAAGAGAGTTAAGATCGCCCATACGGAAAATATGCAAAGGTGCTACCAAAGATCAAATTCTTTGTGTGGACATTAATCTGGAGTATCCTACCAGCTGAAGAGACTTAGCCAAAGGAACGGTGATGTACAGGACAACATTTGTTGTGTATGTGATGATGCATGTGAAACCCTCTACCATATCTTTTTTGTGTGGGTGGGAAAGTATATGCAACTGGATACCTTAGCTTCTCGGAGACGTGGTCAGCTTCAGCAGTATTTAGATTGAATTTTTTGATCAAAGCTCATCAAACAAAGGTTCTGGAGGTAGGTTTGTACGTCCTTTCATTGTTATAGTCGAACAGGAACCGTTGTTTGCATAAGCTCATCTAGTGAATCGATAAGAGTAACAGCTAACAAAGCTAGACGATTGGCAGAAAATATGGAGATGTTAAAGGGGCTCTGCTATGGACGGTAATCGAACATGCCTAGCAAAGAGATGCTCACCACCCAGGGAGCACGAGGCGAAAGTTAATGTGGAAGCAGCAGTTGATTTACGAGCAAGAAGCGCGGGCCTAGGAGCAGTTGTGGGGAATGGCTGGGGTCAAGTTTTGTTGAGTTCTATCACTAAAGTTTCCCATGTGCATAATACGTTGCATGCTGAAATGATGGCAAAGATCCTGTTTAGGATTGTTCTAGTTAGGCAAAGGGGTTTTGAATCAGTCATTGTAGAAAGGGACGCTAGCCTAGCAGTGGAAGAGTAAAAAAAAAAGCTCAAGTCCTATTGGGATGGAGCAAGGGATGGGTTTTTTTTCTCTCCTTTTACATGCGACTTTGGCCATATTAGTGGAACAGAAATTCATTAGCTGTTAACATTGCTGGAGTTGATTGTCGGGTGATCAGTTTGTCTGGGTAGATTCATCATCCAATTCTATTTGTAATACTGATGTTGTTATTGTTTAATGAAAGTATTTCATAATATATGATTATAGAACAAATATAGGATTCAATATCATGTTCAAAATATTTATTTACTAATAATCAATATTAATTGAAAATTTTTTATTTTATTCACATTACTCATATTATTGTTGATGCACTTTTCTTATTTATTCATTATATTCTTTTCAATCATTATTTCGTTTACTTAAATAATCTATCTCACAATGAAAATTACACAAAAAAGTCTATGCTATTAAATTCTGTCCTAGTCTATCATAATCAAAATCATATAATCAATATATATGATATGATTATACATACTATAAGTGGATTTAGTTTAACTTTATATTAGATTTATCTAATTATATTCTAATTTATTTTGTTTTATTGTTCAGTGATTTTTTATAAATGGATGAAATACATTATTATGATTATAACTTGTTATTTCATCAAAATTATCTCGTAATACTTGATTCTAGAGATTTTTTTTCCCCCAATTCTATCATAATAAAGATCTTCAGATTTATGATTGTTTTTCAGCAGGAATACTGACAGAAATAAGCAAGAGACAGTGATGAATATGTTTGGGATTCAAGTCACCAACAGCCCAGAAAAGTATTTAGGTTTGCCAATGATGTTTGGGAGAGAAAAGAGGAAGACACTCAGAGGTATAGCAAACAATATGCGGCAAAGAGTACAGTCTTGGAGCCAGACGCTGATTTCGGATGAAGAGAGGGAAGTCTTTGTCAAAGCGATATTACAGTCTATGGCTAGATATGCTTTGTCCTGTTTCATGCTACCTCGAAGCCTTCACAAAGAATTGAATATGAGTAGATACTGGGGGAGAAGTGGTGGGAATGGGAATGGGATCCATTGGCTCTCATGGAGGAAGCTTTGCAAAGGAGAATGGGAGGGTGGCATGGGTTTCAGAGAGATGAACTCTTTTAACGAAGCTTTACTGGCAAAGCAAGGCTGGCGCCTGCTGCATAATTCATCCTTCTTGGTGTACAGGGTTCTAAAAGAGAAACATTTCCCCACATGCTCTTTTCTGGAGGCCAAAGAGGGACGGACTTCATCGTATTTATGGAAAAGCATTTGTGCCGGAAGAGAAGTGTTGCGTCTGGGAGCTCGGTGGAGAGTGGGTAATGGGGAGGATATAAATGTTTGGAGTGATCCTTGGATACTTAAGGAGGACGGCTTTATTCCAACCCCAAGGGATGATGTGGAAGTCTCAGATATTAAAGTGAAGGACTTAATAGCCGAATCACCTAGTCAGTGGGATATTACTACTACTTTATTTCCATGCAATATAATTAAGGAGATCAGGTTAATATCTTTGAGTAACCTTGGAGATTAAGAGGGCTGGTGTGGCATTTTAATAAGAATGGTCACTATAGCTTGAGGAGCGGGTTCAGAGTATTATTGTCAGCTGACCAGCAAAGTAATGGGGCTGAAAACCAGAGTAACGAACAAACACGAGATAGTGTAAGAGAACTGCCAATTTGGAGGAGATATGAAGAGCTGACATCCCAAACAAGATCAGAGTTTTTGCCTGGAGGATGTGTTATGAGAACCTGAAAAGAAGGAACATATGTGAGGATGGTCATTGCTCGAGATGTGGTTTAACTATTGAAACAGTATTACACGCAATTGTGGAATGTTAACATGCAGTGGAGGTTTGGAAGGAGGCGGGCATGGGTAATGATTGGATGGGGCAGCATTGGCACAATATAATACAGTGGCTAGGCATGGCTACAAAAAGTAACGAAGGAAATACAATGGAAAGGCTATTCACTCTAGCCTGGGCAATTTGGTCAACCAGAAACAATGCAGTTAAAAACCAGATACAGAGAAGTTACCAGGCCACGGCCAGCTTTGCATCCAACTACCTGAAGGAATATCAAAGAACTAAGATTAGGAGAGGTGAGGCGGTAGTGAAGGAACAAATGAGATGGAAAGTCCCCATAGAGGACACCATCAAAATAAATTTTGATGGAGCACTGGATACAATGGAAGGAAATTGAGGCATAGGGGTGGTGGCCACAAACTCTTAGGAGAAATACTGGGTGCTATGCGCAAAAGAGTAGATGGTTGCAGAGACCCTACGGCAATTGAAGCAATGGCTTTATATGAAGCAGTGAGATGGGGAATAGAAATGGGCTTCCATAAGGTTTAGATAGAAGGTGATGCACAATGGGTTATTAAGCAGCTTACTCTTAAAGGGAAGAACTTGTCCTCTGTAGGCCATAAAATCGACGAGGTGCAGTTGTGGTTCATGTTTCTAGGTGGAAGTGCTGGTTTATAAGGCACGAAGCAAACATGGTTTCCCACTCTTTGACGAAAATGGCGTTAGCGGATGGTGAATTTTCTCATGGGATAATAAAGGTGCGGGATATTATTAATGAAATTGCTGCAAATGACAGAAGTTATATACAAGTAATGAAGTTCCTACTTTCAAAAAAAATCTTCAGATTTTGTTCTGTATGGTGCAAGTGATTTGGAATTATAGTGAACACCAAAATTTATAGCTAGACGTAACCCAATTAGCTAATTTTTGTTATTGGACTTAGCTTCTCTATCCAAAAACATGCAGATTTCAAAGTATGAGGAGATAATGGATGTTATTCACCAGAAAAAAAAAAAAAAGTTTATGGATGTCATTAATTTCTTTATTCAATCTTTCCATGTTTGATATTGTTGGATTTTTTTTTTTTTTACACAGAAGGCCAGAGAATAAAGAAAAAGATTGTAAATATTAAGATTTAAAATTTTAACTGTTAGATATTATTTTTTTAAAATGATTATATAAATTAATTGAACTAATTAAATTCTCAATTTACAAAATTTATTGAATTATTACGTTGGAAATGCCTTGATAATGAAGGTGATAAAGTCTTATTTATAGCTTGCAGTTGCATCGACGACTAGGGTTAATTTTGAACTAATCAATATACATATCACTTATCATAATTGATCAATGACACAGTGAAAAACACTGCCAGAAAGTGTTGCAGTGGTGGTCGTGGCAAGAGGCGGAGCTAAAAATTCTATCCAATGAAGGCTTAATTTAAATGTATTAAAATAGATTTGACAATTTAAAATATGATATGATAATACGATATGAACATGATACAAAAAAATGATACGAAAGTCATATAATTTAAAATTTTAACAATAACTATATATGAGTTTAATAAAATAAAATAAAATACTTTTCATATTTTTGTGTTGATATGAATTGTAAAATATAATTTTTATATAAAATATAATATTAACACATGAATTTTAATATTTTATATAATACGAATATACGAATCATCAAATTTTTATTAAATTATAAAAAATAACAATAACAACAATAGTGATAATAATAGTAATAAAAAAAAACTAAAACTTTTATATCCAATTGTATTTTAAAAATTTTATAATTATATTTGATACAGTTTCAAAATTTAGAAACGTGATACATTATTTTGACTATGCCTTCTGAGTTTAAATTTTAAATTTTTTAAATGTCATTTTTTAAAAAATAATTGATAAACTAACTTGTTAACTTCTACCATTTTAATTAATGTTTTTTCTCTCCAAAATAGAAAGCAAGTAGCATGGATTTTTTTTTCTTTTTTGCAATTAATAATTAATGTTAATTGATATGGGAATTGTTTTTTCTTAGGGATTGCATGGACCAAGATGGAACATAAGCTTTCCCTGGCTGGCCTGAAAGAGCATGGAAATAATAAATGAATCAAACTTCAAAATTTTGTGAAAATGTCGATAATAAGATCTATGAAATTCATTAATTCCCCAAAGATTAAATGTGATAAAATTGCAATTAGTGCTGGGTTGGCATCATTAATGTAAAACATGATTTACTTCAAGACTTAACAATCTTCGTGCTACAAGTTATTTAGGTACAAATCAAGAAAAACGTTTATTCATTAAGCCATGTGATGGTATTCATAAATCAGTAAAACTCTCTTGAATCCTTCAAAATTTTGGGTACTGCCACCAACTTCTCATCAATTTGCAGAGTAGTTGCTGGGGACAACTTTCTGATTTCTATGTCCTCTAAAGGAAGGAAATGTAATAATCCAATAACTCTGTATACTGAGATCAGTATCTGGAAAATACCTTAAAAAGTATTTTGTTACACTCGTAGTCTCTGAAGGATGAGAACCAACTATGTAGCATCTACATCGAGAATTCAAGTATTGTATACGTCATTAGTTCGATCCTTTGTAGGAACTACCCGTAATAACGAACTCGCAAAATGGATCTGTTTATCATAAAAAGAATGGTTGTTCCTGACCCTGCTTTACCTTAATTGTTATTTGAACAAGTCAAAGTTATGTCTTGGTCTGAGTGGGGATAGCATTTCTCTTCTGCATGTCCATGGAGTTTTGAAAAATCCAAACATCTCAGAGATAGATAGAGAGGTAGGAATTTATCGAACGAACCGCACTCCTTCGTTAATGAACACCATTAAAAGTCCTGACCCCAAGTCCCTGGTTAAATTCTTCATAAAACAATATGCATAACTACTTATATCTAATTGGCTAAGAGAAGAAATTTGCTGGAAGAAATATGATATGATTGTGGATTTTAAGGGCCCAGATCCCATCTTTCACAAGAACAAATGTTTGTAGTAAGATGAAGGTGAAAACAGAGCACAAATTTACCTCATCCAGCCACTTTTAAGAGATGACATCCGATAGGTCTGAGGTTCAAAACCTAATACTGCACTCTCTTCTCTTATTCCAAGCCGTGACCTCCTTTGTTAAAAAACAAAAAGCAGAAATTTGAAAGCAAATCTTCAGAAAATTTTCAAAGGCATAAAAACCCCAAGTAAAAGGGAAAGCATGAACAATCAGAACCAATTACCAAGAAATAACCCTTCCTGACCACCATCAGATCACATCACAGCATCAAAGTTACAGGACAAGATCGATCATATTTTAACATTACACAAGATTATAACCTCATACATAAGCAATGTAGAACACAGTAAGCTTTACCGAAATGAAGCTTTCATCTACCCAGCAGCAACATTTTGAACTCTTGGAATGACATTACCAACCACAAAGATCACGATCTCAGGACTTTGAGTACAACGCAACAGGTGGAAAATAAAATATTTAATCTAATACATAACATTTTAACACTCAATTACTAATTCTAACATAACTTAGGCAATCACACAACATTCTCAACTCCAATTCCAATTGTATTAAAATGAAACCCTGAAAGCAGTAATTAAATGCATTTGTTCAGTATCTGCATCCCACAACATGTAACCAAAGTATATAAATCTTAGAAAAAATGGAAGCACTATAGGGCCAGCACAAAAAATATTTACTGGAGCAGAGGCATCATGGAAACACCCTCTTTTAGCCCTCCTAATCCCAAGTAACTATCAAATTCAAGCTCTTATGCTCCGTATATCATATTAAAATCTTAAACTAAAAGATACAAACATTTCAACATGCACGGTTGTTGTCATTCAAGCTGTTATACTCAATAAACCAGCTAAAGAAACTAAACCCACTGCCTATTAGGCAACACATAGCATCTGTCAAACCACAATCATAAGAATTTGTTATTACAAGCTCAGGTACCAGGCGCCATCAAAAGAAGTTGCAATCCAGCAAAATTAAGAAAGCAATCACATTTAAATGTTACTAAGAAACAAAGTTCTTCAACTATCAATAGTAACACAAAAAATTAAAAACAAATACAAGACAAGAACCACATATTCCACAGACTTTTCATTAGCATTAGGTGAATAAGTTATAACATTATCATCATCATAATCAAGATGGATTAATATACATCATAATCAAGGGAGGCCTTACAAAAAAAATCCAACCTTCTTTCCCCCAAACCCCCTTGCTCTTTCCCATCTCTACTAGTACCATGACAAACAATTAAAACGGAAAAAAGAAAAAGGAACCAAACCCAGATTCCCTAACATCCCCAAAACACGAAATCTTAAACAAAACAGCAAATTTTTTTCACTTTTTAAGGCTACCCCTAACACCAGGACGAGGCTTGGAAGACTCAACAACTTGATTAGCATGAAGATTCACAAGCTTTGACTCCTCAAAGGGAATCTTGGGATGCTTGGCATCATGATGAATCTGCATCGATTTCAAATCTGGAGCGGTTGTTTTGCAATGAGGACACTCGAACTTGGCATGTCCACCCTTATCCACCCCCGAACGGTCAGCTAATCCAGCCTTGCCGCCCCCTCGGTTGGTTGTGGCGGCGTCGATCTTGGAGGCGATTTCCTTGGCCGTGTGCTTCTTGGGTTTGGCTTTGCCTGTCATGGTTGATTGATGATAAAGATGAAATAGGAAAAAAAAAAAAAAATAGACCCTAGGTGGTGATGATCAAGGAGCTTTTTGTTTTAGGTTTTTTTTTTTTCTTTCTTCGGTGGTATTGGCTTTCGGGGTGGAGGTGTTATGTTAGAATTATCGGGGTAAAGGGCGAAAAGTGGGAATTTATAGGCTTATCTATGTAGTGGCGTAAGCGTGTGGTCTTTAGCTTCAATGATTTAAAAAAAATAAAAAAAAAAAACATAAATTTCATGTTCAACTCTTAAAAAATTATACGAAAGTATTATTTTTTCGTAAATATATATTTTTTAAATTATATTACATAATTATATTATTATAAAAAATTAATTGTTATTACATATTATATATAATAATTAAATAGTTAATATTCACTTCAATAGATTAATATTTATGATATGCAATAAATGATTGATTTTTTAATAAATGTGATTATATAATATAATTTGAATACAAAAGATATTTGTTGATGTAAAATAATAATTTCATACAATTCTTTTTTTGACTTTCAATAAATTTTGTCTAATTTTATATTTATTTTATAATTTATTTAATTTATTTATTAATTTTCTTTTAAATGTAATAAACTATATCATATGTTCAGAAGTAATGTTTCAATGGATAATAATTTTTACTAATATATAATATAGAAAGATCATCCTACAAAATTAATAATAATGACCTTAATTGAATTCAATTAAGTATTTTATTTAAAATCAAATTAAATTAAAGCAATAAAATAAAATTAGGGTATCAATGTCTTTTTTTTTTATATAAAATTATAAATACATTTTTTAAAAACCACTCACCTCTTAAAAAAATTACCTACTTTTTCTAACATAACTTCATTTTAAAAAACACATTTCACATACTGAGTACTCAAATTATAGTATTATCAATAATTAAAATAAAAAAAAACTTTTTAATTAAAATATAAAATTTTTTAATGTTGCACTTAGAAATTGATTCTTCCATATATATATATATTTATTTATAAGATTCACTTGAATTCTAAAAGCCATACTTCAAAATGATGATCAAAATTATATTAAAAATAATGGAAGGAAGGAAAGTGAACTCATGATTAACGGCTTTTTTCATTTTTTGTAAAAAATGATTAATTTTAAGTTTCAAGTTTTTTCAAAGTTATTTTCAATTAAATTGTTAATAAAATAAATTATGTAAAGAATCCTACAGGTCGATCAATCTAGATAGTAATCTATGATTATCCTAATTTTAAATGAAATAAAATTATCTAATACAAAATTTGATTTACCAAATTCAACAAAAACTTATAAAATAAAATACTAACCGTAACATAATAAGTTTCCACTTTTTCAATTCAATATGCATTCACTGTCAGTTAAAATTTTTAATTCTACTACTAAAATTATTAATGAAAACTTTTAACTTCATAAGCAAAATTAAAAGTGTGTTTAGTAGAGTGAAAAAGTGAAAGGATTAATAAGAAACGATGAAAATGTACAAAAATATAAATTTTGCGTGTGCTTGATAAAAAAAAAAGGTGAGATAATAATAAAAAAGATAAACATTCCCAAACTTATTTACCAATATAAATAATTTAAAATTAGAAAAAAAAAGGAAAAAAAGAAAAAAATGTGAATATTTGTTATATATTTACAAGATTATCTATCATATTTAAATCTTTATCTTTTCTTCTTAATTTAAAAAAAATTATAGTATTAAAATCATATAATTTTTATTTTCTTTCTTTTTTAGTTTTCAACTCTATTAAGCAATTGATAAAAAAATTACATTTTTGTTTTAACTTTTTCATCTTTTCAACCAAACACCATAATGTGCATATATATATATATATATATATATATATATATATATATTATGTCTTTGTACTTTTTTTCCCTTTCAATTTTTTATCTTTCCATTTTTTTATCCATCCAATCAAACAAAACCTAAAAAACTTACACAATATCACACTTTTCATTAATTTTTAAATTTTTTATTTATAGCTTAAAGAGTATTTGTTACTTTACCAACACATCTTGAAGTTTAAAAATTTCACTATTAATTTATTTGATAATTTCCCTAAGTATGAAAAACCTATTAAACTCTTCCCAAACGTGCACTTCATCTAAATACTTTTATTTCATTCAACTAAGCCATTCCATCTTTTATTGTAATGTAATCAAGTCCAATTGCCAAAATGAAGGGAGAAAAAAAAAAAAACCGGTCAAGCTACACTGCCATCACCTTCTTTGCTTGCCACAAGAGTCCCTGTAGCTAGCTCTCATTTACCAGCTTCTTGCTTGGCCCTGCCATTGTTTTCTTCGGCCAAAAAATGAAAGTATGCAAAATAGATAGCCAATCCCATACCCGCTAAAAAATGGACAGAAAATGCATAGATAAATATGCAAATTGCAAATCCGGCAAGCAGTCCTTTAAGCAAGGTGTAATTAGCCCTAATATACCCGGAGACTTCGCACGCTGCTTGATCCTGGTCTAAAGTAAGCTACAGTAAGATATTTAAAACTGCAAATGGAAAAAGAAGACATTCAAGAATATAACATGGTATAGTAACATATTTAACTATCCATGCACCTACTTATCAGTAATCTTCTCTAGCAGCAGACATATCAGACACAACTGATAGATTCATATCCATGCCTAATTCTTCAATATACCTAAAAATAAACACACACACATACACACACCACATAGCATGTGAGAAAGTCATATTCAATTCAAAGTATATGATATGAAAGCATTCACATTAAGGATAGTTAGGACATCAGTTGCTTCGAATAAATCAAATGAGTTTCAGTAGATTGGATATTGAAACTGAGAACAGCCTAAATCTATAATTGGGTGGGTGGGGACATTAGCTGAGATCTTACGTTTGAGCCTCAATGTTTTCCTTTCATATATGTATAATAATTAAATAGTAAAACATTAAGAAACAGTTTTCACACTCATGCACAAAGCACAAGATACAACCCATTTTAACTTGTAATATTAAATTTCTATGTATAAAATTGAAAATCATAAAGGATCACGTACATATATTTGTTAGATTTGTATAAGAAACAGCACAACTATGAAGGAGAAAAACTATCCAGCAACATGGCAAGAGAAAGAACCTTTTAATTCTGGAGAAACTCAAGTAGAAGCCAACATCTTACAGACTCTGGTAAGAAGCAAAATGCGATCTAGGATGGAAAATTTCCACTGGCCTGCTGATAGACTGATGATGATGATGATGATGATGATGATGATGATGATGCACTTGTATGTTCAACAATGGGAAGGCAAGCAACATAGTGGTTATCATTCTTTAGCTCCTGTTTAATGCCATGAAACCTTGTACCATTCTCTTTTAACTGTTGCCCTGGAAGGAAAGAGTGAATTGGACCAGTTGACTTTCCACTATTATTAATACCAAAACCAGCCAATGGTAGATTTGCAAATGTTGGGAGATTCAACGGCACTGAAATTGGAAAATTTGGAACTGTTGAGGCAATTAAGCCAGATGAATGAGTTGCAATGTCATTTGGGTTCAGTCCAAAAGAGCTAAAAGGAATAGCTTTCTGGAAGGAAGGAAACTTCATTTGGTAAACAGAAGCTAGAGAAGCTGCCCCAAGCTTCATCTCATTGCTGAAATCCCCAAGAAAACCAAATCTCATATATTCATTTTTAAATTCAGGCTTTTGATCAAAAGGAGGTGCAATATCTTGGATTGGAGTTTCAGGCTTTAGAGCATGGGTATTTCTGGATAATGCCAGAGCAGCTTGAGTATTAGGCACGATTGGGGGTAAATTACAACCACTTGAGTTAACATGACTGCTGCTTCTGGCTGCTGGAACTTCATGATTGTGTTTTCCATCGTATGTCGTGAGTACACATTTTAGATTATGGGAAGCTCTTTCCACATGCTTTCTCACTGGACATCCAGGACTTGTGCATTTGTAGTAGCTCCTAAAAGACAAACAAAAAATTTCCAATAGGTCTTATATATGAAAGCATGAAGCTTGATCTTTTTTTTTTCTTTTTTTTTTGGTTTGGTAAGCTTTGAGAATAAATAAGATGAATTTAGCCCTCATAAAACTAACAGAAACATGCAATGCTTGAAGCATAAACATAAAATTTACCCCTGCATCATTGGATGGTTCATTTAAGTTCACATGCAAGAGAAATGAGATGGAGCAAAAGAGAGACAACTGACAATTTTGGTACCTAGGATTAGGGTTTCCTTTGACAACCTTCTGTCCATACTTCCTCCAACGATAGCCATCATCGAGTATGTCCACATCACTTTCTATTTGCACAACAACTCTTGGTTCACGGAGAGCCCCAGATGCCACATTCATCTCAGTCAAGCATGTCTCTGTCTTCCTGCAATTAAAAGTATATAACAAAGTAAAATATATGCTAGTAAAAGCTAATAGCATTGGCCATTGGATACACATTCATTAACCACAAGTATACTAATACAGAAACTTACCTTCTTTTTGACTCAGACTCATCATCATCATTAGCTGCATCATCACAGAGTGATATACTTCCCTGGGTAGCCCCATCATCGTGACTGGCAAGCGTTGATGAAAACTCTGGGGTATCAGCTGATTCAAATGCACCAATAGATTTCCCTTGGGCAGTTGATAGTGGATCAGAAAGATCAGTTACAACAGATGTTGAGGATGTTCTTTCTAGACCATCGGCTCTCCAATCAGATCCAAGCTTAATATCCTTTGAACCTGCTTGGGCATTTTTCCAAATTAAACAACCTTCAACTTTGACACAAGTTCCACTGCCTTCTGCAGTCTCTGACATTTCATCAGATGATAAAGTGGACCCAAGTGATTGGCGAAGACAAGGCTGAGGCTTTGGGTGATTGTGTGCACCCTTGTAGATGATTTCAGTAATTTGGCCATCAAGTGAACGCTCTACCTTCTTCTTCACCTGGCAATTTGGATGGGTACATTTATAGTAGCTTCTTGGATATTCACTACCCTTTACCTGTTTCTGTCCATACTTCCTCCATTTATATCCATCTTCTGATGTTCTTGCTGTTCCCATTGCAGTGTTTGTCCCCTTCTGATCAGCTTCTGAAAGATTTGTGCTGACATCTTGTCCATGAAGAGGCTCTTTCTGCATGGATGTTTGATCACCAGCCAACTCAGAAGGATGGAATCCCAAATTAGCATTATCATTCACAATGTTATTTAAAACTTTGACGTTGGTGACTGAATCTGTAGCAAAACTCGTTAAAGCATCTTGTTTGGAAAACTCTGCAGCAAATTCAAAATCCAAAGTTGTATACAAATGGACAAGAGGTTGATAATCACCCTCAGTACTCTGAACGAGATTGAAAGAGGAAGAAACCTACAAAAATAAAATTGATCACTAACTGAAATAGTGTTTTATATGAAACACCTAAATATGCATGTGACGGGTGATAAGGACTGCATTCGATAATCTATTCCATAAACTTGTCAAAAATCTACTGCCTGCCAGGATGATGTCACTCCCCTTTAGAATTGCCCATAATGATATGATCATGCATATCAACCATAATAAAGAACATATGTGATGTTAGACAGAAATTAATCTACAGATGAACAGAAGGTTCCCAATATTATCTAACAAAAATAGTTTTCCTACTAATGCTAAAAACTGAAAGTCAGATTAATCACAACAGAAAATCTGAAGACATGCATATCCACAAGCAAACAGAATTTTGACGTGATTAACTAAACCAATCAACTTGCAAGCACTACAAACAAAGATGACATTCTGACTATCTACCTACTGTAGAACAAGGTTAATAGAATTAGGAATAACTTGGATTCCACTTCAACCAAACTTCTCAAAGAAGGATATTTTTACCCGCACAATTAGCTCTTCATATACCTATTTTAACACCCTTATAGTATTGCATCTGAAGAAGTTCAGGACTGACTAACTCCCCAAACCCAAATGAACAAAAACTGACAATAATAGGGAAAATTCATCAACCATAAAAGAGAAGGGATTAATCTCATAGAGAGCAGTAGAAATCTACCCAAAAGCAAATATCGCCAGTTTTATGGCAGAATGAACATGATCTCGATCCGTAAAACTGGTCTGCTTAATTGGTCTTTCATAAAACAAAAATAAAAAATACGTCAACGAGAACCACAAAAGGGAATGGAGAAGAAAAGTAATGCACAATGAAGAATTCTATATAGACAAATAGGTAAAATAAAGTTGAAATGAATTTAAGTAACAAATGAAGGTTGAAAAACAAGACATAGAAGTCATAATCATAAAAGCCAAAGTTTTGCCTACGCAGTTTGTAAATCTGGAAGCCATCTGCAGGGATTTAAACTTTATGACAAAGTACTACTAGAATAGAAGGAAATCACCTGATCGTCTACACTAGAAAAGCTTGGCTGAGAATCCATATTCTGTGGCTTAAATGTAAAGGAAGGACCTATGTTGCTGCCTCCGTCCCCATTGCTAATATTCAGCACTTGACCATCCTGATTGAGAAGCGGTACCAGAAATGTTCCAGTAGTGGGAGATGCCTATGTCGGAAACAGAAGTCATTAGAGAACATGCAAGTGAAAAAATTTGGAGCTAAACATGAAACGAGAACTTTGAGATATTAATTCTCCTATCAGTTAAAAATGATAAAACTTTCTTTGGTTTGTATATGATGATTTTCTTTAAACAGTTTAGATAAGAAATTTAAATAACATTGTTTACTAGTGGAGTTTTTTTTTCCCTTTTAAATATGATTGATAGAACAGAAGGCAAACCTAATATGATCCAATTCATTCAGAAATCAATACTTATAAAAATTTCTAAAATGCTTCACTTAATTTAACTGAGCTTCATTATTGCCAAAAAAAAAAACTCTCCTTAGATATACTTGTTTAAGTTGTTCAGAGTTCAGATCTAATATTACGAATCAAGTAAGACTATAGTCAACAACACCAGACATTAAGAACCCTTTATTAGCATTCAATTGAGACAACTAAAATATTTCCTTTCGAGGCTGCCAATGACAGAAGTAATTGAAATAATTATATGCTGATGCAAACCTCAAAAGTACGCCTGATATCTATACATCCATACACCATGACCTTGCGTTATAAGTACATTTTGAGGTTTGTTTTTCTTTTATTTTACTTTCTGCTTCTTACAGATGTGCTAGAAAGTTAAACCAAACAGTAGTAAAATTGTAAAATCACATTCCATTAGAATACCACTTTTAGTATGATTACACTCTATATTGCTGTTAAGTAGTATATATTATTCCCAAATTAATTAGTACAACTTTAGCTTTTAATACTTGAAAAAGATTACAATTTAATTCATAATCTAATCGACTTTTTTGCTATAGTGAAGGTAAAAAAAAAAAAAGCAAAAAATAAATAACCAAACAAAGCCTAAAAGATGAGCTTTGTCACTAAAAAAGAAGCATTAAAGATGGTTTTGTGACAATTATAATAAAATACTTCATTTTTTTCTGTAAAACTGTTTTCATAACATTCAAAACTTTAATCATGGAAAAAATTATTAATTGAGAAAAATATACATAATTAGTAAAAAAAAACTGGTACCTGAGCGTTGGGCAACATAATAGGAGAATCCAACAAAGCAGTGGGGCTAATCCCAGGAGGAATAGTAAGGTAAGGCGACGGGACCGATGGGGAGCCCAATGGGCTAGTGGAAGCCCGAAACCTCGCCGTACTTATCCTCTCCGCTTTGAACCCGCACTTTGCCGCCCTCCTCTCCGCAATGCTGCCGCCTATCCTACCAAAACCGCCGCCTCCGCCGCCGTGACCAATGGTTTTGGATGCATCATCATCGTCATTAGCGGTAACGGATTCTTGGCGGTTGGTGAAAACGGTTACATTGTGGTCCATGGAAAAGGAAAAGGGAAAGAGAGTGTTCAAGTCACGCAGCTGTGATTTAGGAATTAGGTTTGTTTTTTGATTCGGTGTGGGTTTAGCTCCAGTGATTGGTTGGAGCTGAAATTTTGAGAGAATGATTTTCAGAAGCTTTTCAAGTTTTGAAACAGAATATTTTAGAAGAAAGGAAGGAGAAAGCGTTTTTAAAGTTTTTTGGTCCGGTTGGCGAAGGTACAGTTCGTTTGTTCGATTGTTGTTTGTCTTACCATATATATATTTTTACCATATTAAAAATTTTTAATTATTTATTGCTTTTATTAAAAAAAAAAAAAGATTAAATGACTTTCATGCTCCTTAAATTTTGAGGACTATATCGTATTAATCTTTCAATTTTAAAAAATAATATATTAATTTTTATATTTTTATTATAAAGAAACTATCCTTTCCTCAGCAAAACTGTTAATACAACGTTAAATGCCTCAAGTGCAGATAACATTTGGAGAGAGCACTAGGTGCCTTTTTTCATGTGATTCCAAAAGATAAAAAATTAAAAAAAATTTTATATATTAGGATAATGAATTTATAATTTTATAAGTTTATGATTAAGAGAAAAAAATAATGATTATAAAGAATATAAAACGTTGATCAAATTTACAGTTTTTAATTTATTTTTAGGGAGATTAATTTTTATGTATCTTAGTTATTACTTTTGTAATCATAACTTTTAAATGAATTAAAACTCTATTTATTTCGGAAAAATTAAATTTTAAAAAATATTTAAAAAATAATAATTACATTTTTGGAAAAATGTTTTTTTTGAAAAAATAGAAAATTTTTATTATTTGGATAAGTTAATGAAAATATTTTTTGTTATTTAATTATTTTTTGAAAAATCTGTTTCTTTTTTTAAACAATATTAATATAACTATTAAAATATTAAAAATTATTTATTATTAAAATATATTGAAATTATTTATTATTAAAATTATTAATATTAAAAAATAATTATATTTTAATAATAATATATAATATTAAAATATTATATTAATATAAAAATACTTAAAATAAAACTATTTCTTATTCTTTATTTTAATATTTTAAAATATTTAAAATAGTATTACTATTCTTAAAATATTATTTTTATTAATATTAAAATAGTAATATTTATTATTAAAATATTTATATTTTATATTGAAAGTATCTATTACTAAATCATAACAAAAATCTTTTTTATTTATATTTACTATTAAATTATTAAACTAAATACCTTAATAAATAAAAATATAAACATATTTTAAACTAAAAAAATAATAAGAAATTATTAAAAATATTCATATAAAGAAAATAATATTATTATATTATTTAACATTAATTATTTAAATAATAAACATATTATTATATATGTTACTATTTATTATTAAAATAATAATTTAATACTATTTATTATTGAAATATTAAAATTATTTATGCTTAATAATATACAAAATAAAAATATTTAAAATTGAAATCTCAAGAGACTTTTAATATTGATATTTTAATTTTAAATTAAAATTAAATAATTTTTTTATTAATATAATAATATTTTAAATTGAATCAAATCAAGTTTAAGTTTAAAATACTATATTCAAAGTCTTACTTGTGTAGAACTATAAAAATATTTAAAATTAAAATGTTAAATGATTAATATTAAAATTTTAATTTTAAAGTAAAATTAAATAAAAAAATATTATTTATTAATATAATAATATTTTTAGTCTGATCAAATTAATTTTAAGCTTAAAAAAATCATGTACAAAGTTCGACTTGAGTAAAATTATACTCAAATACATTGATAAATAGTTCTATTCATATACATCTCTTTTCTAAAAATTATCTTTCCCTTTTGAAAAGAAAATTATAATTTTCAAAAAATTATCTTATTTTTCATTGACCAATAAATTATTTTTTGTTGACTAATCAATTTTCTATCAAACAAACACTAAAAATAAAGAAATAATTTTTCAATAATCATTTTTTACAAAACAAATGAAGCTTAATATTTTTGTATTTTTCAAGAGAATATTTATTGAGTTGCAATTAAATTTACCTATAAATTGGGCTATTAATCAAAGTCATAGGTCAGGCTCACCTCAAATTGAATCTTGAATATGATTTTTAAAGGTTAAGCTATTCTAATTGTTATTTTATAAATAAATATTTTATTTAATTAATATTTTAGAATATATTTAACATATAAAAATATTAATATAAAAATATTTTTTAATTTTTAAAAATTTTGAATGATAAAATGTGCTTATTTGGGTTTGTAATAAATGGGTCAAACTAAACCTGAAACAAAATTTTAAAAGTGTCATTCAAGTTTGGCTTGGTTTATAGACACCTTTAATTGCAATCTAAATAATTAAATTTATCATTTTTTTTTTGTTAATAAAGTGATAGTTTGAAAATTATAATATTTCATTGAAAAATTTATACAAATAATGGATAACTAAAAAACTTGACTTTTAAGATAATTCACTTAAATATTTTAAAATAAAATGGCAAATATATAATGAAATATTTTATGATGTATTGTTTAATTGTAAAAATAATTTAATTACATAATAAAAAATTATTTGTACAAATTATATAAAATGCAAAAATTAAAAGTACAGAAATAATATTCTATACTTTTATTACCTTTTTAAGTTATTCAAAGCCTAATATTTTATGTTATGATTATTAATTGTAATCAAATTAAGTTTTAAAAAACAAAAAAAAAATTATACTAATTTTAAAAGTGGATTATAATATTTTGAATGTTTGGGATTTCCATTATCCTCTCTATCGACTTATCCTTTAAACTTAAAAATTTAATCATCATTCTAAATTTAGTTTCAAGTTGAAAATTATAATAACCCTTACACAAGTTGCAAAATTGGTCTCTTTTTATTAACTTTTATTCATTCTTTTACAATGTTTTTATGTAAATAACAAATAAATTTGGAAAAAAATGGTCATTTTTATTTTGAAGATATAGACTTCTTTTCTTTTATCCTAAAAGTAAATCCACAAAAATATTTACTAAAAAAATTGAGGATAAAAAGTATTTTTTGCTTATAATTACTAAAATTACTGGTTTTTTTTTAATAAATACTCATTATCATAATTGTAATTAGTAAAAAGTTTTTATCATCACTCCTTTTTGTAATTTCATCTTTTGACTTATGATTTCATATCATCAAATGTCATCCCTTTTAAAGTTTGCATTAATGGTTTGATTGATGGCATGATTGTGTTGTTATGATTATAAAAATATAAAAATCAATGTGTTTTTTTTTTCTAAAGTTTGAAGATCAAAACAATGTGCATTGCCAATTTTAGAGATTATGAAAGTAATTTATCAAAAAAATATTATTATTACCATATTAAAATTGAAAACCAAAAATAAATTTTCATGAAATTTTTTTCCTTTTTTATTTCATATTGACAGCAAATTTATCTAACATGATATTAAAGAATTAAAGAACTAAAGAATATTTTTGTATTTTAAATTTTAAATTTTGATGAATTTTTTATTACTTATCATTTTTTATCTATAGTTTTTCCACTTTATATATATATATATATATATATATATATATTACTTTTTTTTATTTCAATTTCTTTGAACCAAACAAAAGCACAATGAAAAGGACAGCGTAGTTCATACATAAATATATGCTGTCGAATCCCTTCTGTTGCATGTTAAACCTATTTTGTTCGTTGCTCTTTGTTAATTCTAATAGGATATGTTTGGACAAAGATTTTAAGAAAAAATTCATTTGTACAGATATTGTTAAAATTAGAAAATAAATTAGCTTTTTTTAATAAAATAAAATCTAAAATTGTGAAAATTTTAAAATTTGAAAAAAGATTTTAGAAGGCTTAATTTTTTTTTTTTTCAAATTCCACCTCAATTTTCAAGAAGTGAAATTTGTGTAAGTTCTTAATTTTTTTTAATAAGATGTGAACAGTTTTTTACATGATTTTTACTTTCTTCAACTATAATTATAAAAAAACTCATTTCAAATTTTTTTAAATTTTTTCATGCTATTGGTAATATCTAAATATTTTTACAAATCTAATGATACTCATATTATATATTTTTTTGATAATTTTCTTATTCTATCTCTAATGTTATTATTCCTCTATTATAATTATTTTTATCTCATAAGTTTCAATATTCAAAATTTGTTTCTAAAAATATTTACCCAAATAATATAATGTCAAATAATAATAATTTGAATTGATGTATTTCAAAATATTTAAAATTTTAAAATTTTTTAAAATTTTAAAATTTACTCATCCAAACACACCTTTAAATTTTGATTCAATTCAAAACTAATAAAAGTGAACTCTTTAACTCTTATAATAATAATAATAATAATAATAATAATAAAAAGCTTCGCTTCCATTTAAAATTTTAAAGTAAACAATCTGATTCATCCGTCAATCCTTCACATGTACGATTCATCGTCAAATTTCATGTTACGGGATGACGGATACCAACAACATGATTATCAAAATGCATTAGTGGGAGATTACCTTATGTTTTAGAATTTACCAAAAAATAAATATGTGATGGGTTATTTTCATATAAAAAAAAAAGAGTTGGGAAGGTGACATTTGGTGTGTCACACCCTCGTTTCCACCTATGATTGTGTTTGGCAAACCCCAAGAGAAAAGATAAGACTTAGATAAAATTTTTAGATAAAATAAGTGAAATTTTTTATTAAATATATTTAAATAAAATTTTAAAAAAATTTAAATTTAAATTTATAAATTGAAAGGTATTATTATTAGATCAAGTACGTAAATTTTGAAAAAAATTTAAAAAGAATTTGATAAATTTTTAGATGGATAATTTTAATAAAACTTTTGACAATATTTTATTTTTAAATAATTATTAATCAAATTTAAATTATAAAT